ATATATCTGAGTCTTTATTCTTCATATGTAATTTAAAAGCAAGCTTTTCTTTGTAAAAACTTTAATTGAATTTCAATGAAGTTAAAGACATAGCCTCACCACTAATATTTAAAAAAAAAAAAAATAAAGATATTATTAGAATATTTGTTAATTGGATGAACAGTTTAAAAAATAGACAATTGATTGGTTTTCCACTTGTTCTTATTGATAAAGTATTTTCTGAAATGAATGCTGTACAATTAGTATAGCCAAAATCTTGTTTGCAATTATGTGCATGACATATACAATATGTTATAAAGCAAAAATTAAGTTCATCAAAAAATATCTGAAATTACAATTATAATTCCATTATAGCAAATCAAGAGTGTTTAGGAATTAATCCAAATTGGAAGTTTCAGACTGAAAATTTGAATATAATTTATTTTTTGGAATTTCAAAATAATATAATTAATCTTGTTGATTAACATTATAACTATTACATGTTATTACCAAAACCTAATGAAGAATTCATAACAAATTTGAAAACAATTTGGGAAGAATTAGTTACTGAGATTCATAAATACTGTCAAGACTATAATTTATTTAAATTTTGTTTTATTTATGGTCAGAGTAGTATTCTTATATAAAATGAACTTTGTAAGTAAGAGCTGTGAATAGTAGAATTAATCATATTAAGATGACTATGATCATTGAATTACATTGATGACATGTTAAGCATGAATATTTACATAAGTTTCACTAATCATACATTGATCACTTATGTTATATTCTTATTTATAAGGTTATTAATCAACAACTTTATCAAATTTGTCTTTTGTAACAAAATTATTATACAGTTTTATGGAGAAAAGAGTTCAAAAAAGAATGGCTAATATATAAAAAAAAAATTTAACTTTCCTAATCAATATAAAACAAATACAGATAATTGGACTTGTTCTTGTTATTCATATCTTTCTAGTCAGTTTTTTTTATGCAAACATCTTATAACTAGAGTTGACCAAATAGATCATGATTTCTTTAAAAAGATATCCAAAAATATGAATGTTTGATATTTTGCTTTTTTATTATTTATTACATATTTTATTTTATTTTATTTTTACAATTACAGGTGCAATGAAATAACAACTATCTGATTATTAAAATAAGTAATAGTGAAATTTCAAATGTTTTTAACTTTCAAGACACTCATATAGATATCAAAAGCATTCCAATAAATTATAACTTAATTGAAGACTATGAAAATGACTTCGTACTTAGCAGTGATGATGATAAAGAAAATTCAGATGAAGAGGTCTTAAATC